CATCAACAAGGTCCAGAACTCCGGCCCATACAAATCGAAACAGCAAGGAAACGGAAGCGGATACGATCGTCAAGGCGGAGGACGCGATAGAAGACCGAGGACGTTCGACAATGGAGCGAAGACAACCGACAACGGAAAGCGTGAACGAAACGAACGGAACGCGGCGGATAACGATGCACGCTCATGGAACGGCGGAAACAAAAGCGGCCCGTGGCAAAGAAGACAGAAGCGCTGCAGAAGATGCGGATCGCTCGAGCATAACGTGAATTCTTGCGAAACGTCTCCCTCCGTCAAGTGCTTCCATTGCGGATATTCCGGCCACCTCGGTTCCGCCTGTCTAAAGTTCCAAAGCGGTAATGTTAAAGCGGTACGCCCCCCCTCCCCTTCTCCTGCCCAAGATCCGATTAACGATTCAGAAACCGATAGCGATTGACAATCTGGGGGATGGATCACCGCCGTGGGTGATCCAAACCTGAGCCCCAGACTTGAAATGACAATCACGGACGGAACCACCAATAAAAGTTTCAAATATTATTGTCTCGCTGACACGGGTTCCGAAGCTACCCTGATCTCAAGGAATCTGGTCGATTCACATGGCTTGACTCTGCTCCCCGGAAACGGGATATCGTTGGTAACCGCGAATCTGTCCCCCCTGAAATGCGATGGAAAAGTACGCGTACGCTTGTCGACAAAAGGCAGAAACACCGTGGAAGCCGAAGCCGCCGTCTGCCAAAACATGGGGACCGACGTGATTCTCGGGAGGCACATCCTAACCCTTCTGTCGGTAATACCTCGCAATTTCCCGAATGTCGTCGCGAGCGTCAGGCCATACATCGAAAGCCTGATCTCCGAATTTCCGGAAACTCTGTCGGATCGTCTCCATCAACGTTCAATGAAAGGAAAGCCGATGCGTATATTCCTAAAAGACGACGCCAAAATCTTCCCCACACGCAGACTCACGGCCAGGCAGATCCCACTCGCCAGACAGGAGGAAGCCGATAAGATCATCAAGAACATGCTCGAGGATGGCGTGATCGAGAAAGTCG